TGATCAGCCTTGTACCATTGCACAAACCTCTTTCAGGGTTGAGGTTTCTCAAGAGCATTACAGGAAGACCTACTTTCAACTCCAAAACTGCTGGCGGCAGCCCTGAAGGCGAAAGGGTTTGCAAATACTCTGAGGGATAGGCTTGGGTCTCCGTGTTGGTCAGATCAGACTGAGCTGTGTCAGCAGAGTACAGAGTGACCTTTTCCCCAATCACGTTCTCCATCACCTTGCTGTTAATAGCATCAACGTTGACGTTCTTTGAACAGAGAATAGCTCTTTCCTTGAAGAAATCACTATTTTGCAGAGGACACTGCAGAACATGCTGAGGATAGATATCTTCAATGAACTGATCAAGATCAGTCATCTGCCTCAAAAAAGAGGGCAAAGCAATGCTGCCAATCATGGATGGTTCATACGACATTTTTCCTATCCAATCTGCAAATTGCCTATCTGTGTCATTGGAGTTGGCAAGTCTCATATTCTCAGTCAGGCTCAGCTTTTGTAATTTGGGCCATAATCTTGACGATTTCAGTGAGGCATTGACGATTTCAGGACGGCCACCTTGCCTAACAACAGGTGGAATTTGAGCAAAATCACCGCCAAGAACAACAGGAATACCACCAAAGGTAACTTCATCACCACGACTACAAATATCACGAAGTGTTCGATCAAAAGCTTCAAAGCAATATCGATGCTGCATTGGCACTTCATCCCAAATTATCAATGATGTCTCTCGAATGAGATCAGCAAGATCATCGTTTTTCTTGATTGCACACACAGACTGCTCGTGGATGTTGAGTGGAATGGCAAAGCGAGAGTGCGACGTACGCCCACCAGGAAGTAGCAAAGCAGCAATGCCAGAGGAGGCAACACAGAGAACAATTTTTCCTTGGCTTCTATAAAAGTGACAAAGAGTATTGTAAATGAAGGTTTTGCCAGTGCCAGCTGGACCTTGCAAAAAGAAATGTGAGCTATTGGTGTTGCTGTTGATGGAGGAGGTGATGGTATCAAATACGTGCTTCTGGGTAGCGTTCATTTGAGCGTACTTTTGCTGGTACGAAAAGGCTTCTTGATCTTGGAGATATGACATTTCATTGAGTATCAATGAATTGCGCTGTATGCCAGTCATTCTGCTTATCAAGCCATTCCAGTTGAAGAGAGGCAAAGGCAAATTGAACTGACCTAGAGATCTGTCTTGTGCACCAAGAGATGTTTGCAACAGATATAAGCCGTAATCAAGACTTCGCGTTCCATGGTAAAATTCAGCGTCAGGTTGCACGCTGAGCAGCAGCGAATACCCTTTTTGCACGATTGCATGCTCAAGATCATCACAGAAACTTTCACAGAATTGATCCCAAATCTGAACAGGCGATACCAATGAGTTGAACATGAGCGCAGAGACAAACATTGAACGCATTGCGTAGCCAGAGGCAAAGGTAGCAGCTTCTTCAAAGGCTCTGGTCCATTCTCCATCATCTTCGATCAAATGCAGCATCATACAGGCCTCGCGAAAGGTGGCGTACTCGTGATTATTGACAGTTCTCAGATGAGAAAACGACATGGCTCCTCTGACAACTGTGAGCAGCAGACGCAGATAATACCTCTCGCCGGCAGCAGGATTGCAGTAATACATGCGCCCAATTGACATTCTACTCGAAGACCTAGGCTTCCACTTTTTTGCATTCTGCTGCCAAGTCATATGTTCAGGGAACTCTTGATAAAGCAACGGTCGAAAACCGGGTTTGCCGTGATTTGCATGGTTGTAATGAAAGTAAGCCATCAAAGTAGAGCGACTCTCTCTCAATACTTTGTCAATTTTCTCCTGTGGCCATTGGGGATCAAAATAAACAGGTTGCTCGTTTTCAAGATGCACAGCAAGTGGAGTAACAGATGGGCTTTCCTCATGCATTGGGAATTCAAACAACCTCCATGCAGCTTCAACAGGACTAATATAACGGCCATTTAGATACTTGGCCACTTCGTTATTCTGAGTTGTTGCTGTGGTAGTGGCATTTGCTGTTTCAGTGGCTGTGGTGGTGGTTGTAGTTTTGAGCGTTGTCTGATCAGAGCCTTTGTAAATATACTTGTTGATGTACTTAATTGCCTGGACGCTACCACATACTTCGACATTTACATGGGCATTGTATTTTTTTGACAAATAAGGGTTGTATGGCACCACCCACTCATTCGTCATGTGGAAATCGCGGTAGACACCCAACTTGTCCTTGACGCGCACCTGATGAGAACGACCATCTCTTCTTCTTCTATAAGTAGGATAACCATCAGCACTGGTCACCGTTACTGTCTGGTAGTTTTTGGGAAATTTTTTTGAGCATACATCATTGCCAAAAGCATCTTGTACCATACACGGAGACTTTGAGTTTAGCTCGCCACATGGGCCATGCATCATATTGCGAGTGATGATTGCATGCAATTCAGGTTCTTCTTCAACATTTGGGATCTCAGCGCAAATGATCTGATCAATCCTCTCTGGCGTATCAAATCTATCTGTTTCTGCATCCAAAAACAATAGCATATGACCGTGAGGGAGACCACGCTTTTGATACTCAATAGTCCTTACAATGCCTTTATAACAGCCAAAGACCTTTCTGTCTTTCAAGTCTTTAAGCAGCTCTCGGTGCTTAAGGTTGAATACTCGAGCAACCAAGTCGGGGCGATCAGCGGCTGTTTGGCCTGGCAACAATTCATCTTGGATCTCCCTCCAGTTTGGGTTGGCAGTAAATGTGATGAATAACGTTGGCTTACCAAAGAATCTAGAGATAGCCATTGCATTTTGATATAGCTGCATCATGAATCGCGGTCCACCAGTGAAGCTACTGGGCAAGATGAACGTCTTTCCCACCTGTTCGAGGTCTGAGTCAGCAGCAGAGGTAGCATCAGCAAGTCCTTTATACACATCAGCGCGAAGATTCGTCTGATTGACTTTGATCCAGTTCAGTTTTGTTTGCTCACAGATTGCCCAGGCATCAATCACATATTGTTGAAATAGACGTCTTGACAAAAAAATGATCTTTGACTCGTTGTTTCTAACATGCAATCGAAATCTGTAGAACACGCCTTGGGTAAGTCGGCTATCTGACACTTGTGGTTGTTGTTGTTGTTGTTGCTCTGCTGGTGTCTCATCTTCTTCGCTCTCAATAATCATGGCATCAGCAGTTTGCGCTGACGATTGCAGTCTTTGGCCCCAATTCCACCCATATTCACCTCTAGGAAAAAGCAAAGCATAATGAAGAGGCATATATGCAGCATGCGTCTCATTGATACGCTTAAACTGGCCTTGAGCCCTGGCCGAGGAATTGCTACGATATGTGATCAAAATATCTCTGAAACTCCTGTCAGAACACTCGTTTGGAATGATGGCAGCAATCTCGTTGACAGTTGGCAGATTTTGAGTGCGTCTGTCCTGGCCAACAACCAATTCCATTTGCATCTGAGGACTGAGCCTGATGTGAGCATTCTCGCTAACACCATCTTGAGCTTGCCTCTCCTCTTCTTCTTTCAGGATTTCGTGAGCATGTTTGTAGATGCTTACAAATGGATTGCCACAAACTACAGGATCAGCAATCATTTCACTCAGTTGCTCAATGATCGTGTCGTCCAATCCTTGATTTCTGGGGTCTGCACAGCGAATCGCAGCGGCATACTCTGGGTCGTAAACGTACAGCTGGCTATACTTTGGCACATTGCTCAAATTTAGTGGTGCTTGCAAGTGATAGAGTTCCCCATGAACACGAACCGGCGTGATGCCGCCTCTCATCTCATTCTCTCTATCCCTTTGGAGCTGCTCAGGCGTAGCATCGGTGCCAAATGATGTAAATGCGAACAAAGTGTTGTATTGTCGCATGTGCTGCAAAAAATGAGAGGATCGAGGATGGCTTCCGTTGATCAAGCTATTTAAAGGCTCGGGAGGCTCTTGCAAAAGGGGCAAGACAGCTCTACCTTTTTTGCAGCAAGCATGAAAGCAGTTGTCGTTTACTCGCTGTTGAACAGCCCTCTCTGCGGCCCAATGCAAAGCTCCACATCCATCACATTGGTTGTCCATTCTGCCCAAATCTGAACGTTGTACTCTTCCAAGTTCTGATACAAACGCTGCAGGTGCTCTTGGTGTTCTTCGATTCGCCAATCTTCTTTGCCTGGCGTAATTTCGCGCTCGTTCCTGAATTTGAGTACAAACAAAATAAACCATTGCGTCTCAGGGTTTTATTAGGCGTTAAAAGCCATTTTACTTACTCGACATGAATCACATTTCCGATAAGCATAGTCTACTGGAAGAGCAGCTCTACAGGTCGTGCAGTGTCTTGTTTGAATAGTAGGAGGCATATTATTACGTACGTATAATAACAAAAAGCAATGTATCAAATTTTTTTTTTGGTGCCTTATATTCTTGGTGGAGGGGCTAAGCCCCCTCCCCCAAACCCCCTCCCCATTGCCGGCTTCGCCGGTGGTTATGCCCTCGTTTGTTCTGGCTTTTAATACTATTAAATTTTAAAAGGATATGATTGGCTTGTCTATTTTTTTTTCATAGTTTTCCAGTATATATATTTTAGATAGATCTTTTTGGGTTATTATTCTAACCATCTGCTTTTGTCTTTTGACCATCGATGCCTCCTCTTTTTTAACCAGCGCCATGTCTCTTTCTCTCTTTCTAAATAGCCTCCCCTCGTAAAAAGCCAAAAGAGTAAATCAATGGTTGATGCAGGATGAAAAATCATGTCGTCGAAATAAGAATTGCGTCGCAAAATTTGATTTGGAAAATTCCCTTTAATTTAACCATACCAAGGAAGGGTTCCATAAACAAAGAGCAAATCCTTGGTAAAAATAGAGACGAATGACCATGACAAACAGTTCTTCATTGGGCCGTGCTTATTTATAAGGGGAGAAATGAGAAGAGCCAAAGGACTATAAATACAAACTCGTATTCTCTCTTTCTCTTCTTTTTCATACAATCCTATCAACTTATTACCTTTTAAAAGCTCATAATGCAATCTTCAGTTACATCAACAGCTAGAAACAATCGTGTACTATCCACATCTAGCAACAGTAGCAATAGTAGCACACACAGCAATCCTGGAAAGCTCATGTCAATTTCATCCATCATTGCTGCTTCTCCTCCCATGTATGCGTCCTCCTCATCCACAACTCATAAGCTATACCACAAGGAAGCCATGGAGCGTAGAGCATCTGCACCAAGTCATCCTTACAATCACCCTCAAAGATACCCTTCCGCTTTCTTTCGTTCGCCACCCACTTCGCCTGAAGACAAATTATTCGAATCCTCTGTCCCTTCATCACCCCCTTCTTCTGTTTCATCTTTATCGTCGCCGAAGCGATCCTCTTATCACCAGCACCAGCAACAACAGCAACAACAGCAAAACCAGTATAAACTGCAGCATGAACAGCAGCAAAGACGTATCAGTAAGCTCATGCTAGACGATGACGAAGATGATGATTTAATGGACGATCAAGACCCATCTCAACCACCATTGACACTGCAAGAGCGTAGGTTGAGAAACAAAGCAGCATCAGCTAAATATCGTCAAAAGAAGAATCAGCAGCAAAACGAAATGAGATTAATGATTGGCCGTTTATCAGAGCAAAATGCAGTGCTGGAACGTCAATTGCAAGAAGTTCGACATGAAAACGAACGACTAAAAGCAACCACTGATAGATTAAGGGGTAAAATGGTTGCCAAAAAGATGCTCAAAAAATGGATTGGCAGACAATCTTCTACTGCTGCCGCCGCCGCTGCTGCTGCTGCTGCTGCTGGTGGAAACGCCAATCATGCCTCCTCTGATGTCCCTAAACATCACCACCATCATTATTCAAGTGACAATAATGGCAATTTCAACTACTCTGCATTATCCCTTAGTAGTAATAATAGCGAGCATGATGACGGTATCAATGCAGTCGTTGCCACAATTTCTAGTGATCATGATGAAGATGATGAGCTTGAGAGCATGAGTTCAGAGTAGAAAAAAGAAACCCCTATATATTATATACATTTAAGCATTTCAAACACACATGTACACTACTCCCCCCCACTATTACTACTACAATTTACTACCTCTCTTTCACTCTTTTTTCTTTTTTAAAACAATCATTATATACACATCCATTCTACATATACACACCAGAGTGATAATGCCAACTCAATTATATATACATAAAAAAGGTCATTCTGTTATGCCTGCATTTTAGAAACACATGAATAGTTTATTCAATATAGTTAAAACGACTAGAAGAGTCCCATTTCTGAGCCCACCACCTGCAGGCATTCTTTAATCAAACCAACAACTACATCATCTTGGCATGTAATCATACTACACAGAGAAGGATACAAATAGAATAAATGTGCTCTTGGTCCAGACAAAAGCATTTGTTTCACAGCGTCTAGTAAACAAATATACACATCAGATGAGGTTATTTTGCCATTCTGGACATGTAAAACTTACTACTGCCATCATCATCATTGAGAGTCATGATGTCTTCTTGCAATTTCAGCTGAATTGATTGTTTTAAAAGAAACAGTATCTCCTCTTTACGCACTCTACAATATAGAATAAACCAGGTCAGTAAAACACGTACATTATCTTTCCCGTCTTCATCCCCTATCATGTATAAACAAAAAAGCAAGTTCTCTTCTCACCCCATCAAGTACCTGGGGAACGGGCATCGTCCTAGTAAAGGTTCATCTGCAGTATAATTTCGAAGAATGGTCTCACATCGCTCGAGTAACACGGGAAACACTACTTTAGCTATTCTCTTGCGCACCTCTGGGAAGTCTATAAATGATGTATCCGATCATATCAGTAGAGTGTTTCAGGTAAGTTTGTATATCTGGTTACCTTGTTTCTCGCAGGAACAGAGTGAAAATAACGTCATGAATGATGCATAAGCAAACGACTCTTTCATGACAGGCACAATGGTACCTGTGGTGCCTGCAATATCGCTTGATCTATCATTGGTGTCCTCAATGTAATAGAGTCGAGAGCTTTCTCGAATCACAGATACCAGCTTCTCAATCACTTCAAGAGGAACTGTCGGTTGCCCCATATGAACCACAATGTCGTTTTGTATGACACTGAGGACTGAAATATCAAAGTGCTCGTCCACGTCCAGCTCTTCGATCTTCATGCTTTCAGGAGGCGAACTAGGCGACAAGAGACTTCCTTCTAAAATATCTACAAGTGTGCGCCAAACGCCACAGAATCTCTCGGTGGGGACATCTATCATGTGTAGCGTGAGTATCGCCATGCTGGATTTGCGTCCATCATAGACAAACCTTCTCCAAACGCCTCCAATGTCTCTAATCCAGGCTTCAACACCTCCAAAAGACCCGTGGTAGCCAATTTCCATAAGGGCGTTTTATCGTCACCATGTTTGAATGAAGGAGGGCAATCGTACTTCAGCTTCATGGGCAAGCCATAAGCGCCAATGATACGTTCGAAAACACCCTCTGTGTACAGTGACAGTACATTAACATGCGCTTGAAACAGAGTGGCAACCAAGGTGTTGCACTTTTTGTTGAGTGCAATGTAAGTGACAGTAGAAAACTTGCGTTGGCTTGGTGGGATGTAACCACGATTCTTATTCTGACCATCTTCAGGAGGACTGAGAAATGCAAGCGTCATGTATTCTGCTAGGTCTGCTAGCACTAAAGGAGGCACGCCGTCTGTATTCATATCCAGTGTCTGCACAGCTTCCAGCACTGCTTCCTGCAAGGGTGAGACGTGATCTACGTCTGGTCGGTATTGAGGGCTCGTAGAATACACCAGCACGTTGCGTAGCACACTCAGAAGTGAACTGACATCTTCCAGCGTAAAGTTGCGTGAGATGAGTTTGTAGAGATCGGTAAACAAGGTGACAAAGGATGTCAAGGCATCTTGGGTAAAATCGTCAGAAATGGGTGCCACGCTGGAAGACGATAGTGAGAGTGTCAGTGATTGGAGTTTGGCGTCGTCATCTGCCAGCCAGTTCTTGCTGTTGCTGCTATCATAAGTAATATCGCCCTTGTTTCCTTCCATGGACTGGCTGATGCCTCTTCCAATGATTTGCCATGTATTCCACGCTCTTCGCCACAGATCCATCAGCTTGGCAGTGTCTTTAAAGTTGGGGTCAATCGTAACAATCGCTTTGAAGCTCTTGATGCTTGCAAGCGATACTTCTTGGCTGGAGCGAAGACATGAGTCCTCTAAATGAGCCAACAGAAGCGTAAATGCACGCTGGAAGTGCTCCAGTCCATGCAAGTCTTGCAAAAAGTCTTGGAATATGCTTGAGATGCCAGTGAGAATCAGCACCTTGGTCTCATCCCATTGCTTGTCAGCTGTGTCTCTCGAGTGGTGCAGCATGAATCCTGATGAATCACGGTCGTTGACAGAAGGCGAAGATGCTTTGCTGAGGGACATCTTTGAGGCACGGATAGACGACATTTTGATAGAGTCTAACAAGGGAAACAGCACCTCCCAAATACAGGCATTCCACAGATGTGGACCCAGTACATGGCCATTCATGGTAATCGTTCTAAACAAAGTTTGATTAGCACCATTGCGCACCTCAGGACGCCAGTCAATGCAAGTGTGTGATAGCTGGAGCAACAGGAGCATCCATAAGATGCTGTATGTCTTGGGGTTACTGTCGTCTTCGTTGCTGAGGGCCAGATCAATGTTGATGCTTTCTTTATCGATCTTTTCTTCTGCTTGCGTGCTTTCTTTGCCGAGATCAATGCGCCTGGTTTGAATGAAGTCTGACAGATTCCATAGCAGTCCAACTGCTGTCAAGCTGATGTTGAGATCGTCACTCTGCATGCCAAAAGAGCCTAGTGTAGCAATACATTGACGCAAGCAATCTGGTGACAAGAGCGACAGAAAATCAGTGCAGATCAATTGAAGACTAGAAAAGGCGACCTTGATCAATCCAGTGGCTGACTTGGGCCCAGCAGTAGCCATGATGCTACCTGCCATGATAGAAGAAGCAGTGGTATCAATGCTGGATCGTTCGTTGGTCTTGATCTCAGGGCTAGCAACAGGTGTTTCCTCGTCATTGTCGTCGGCTTGTTGGTTGTCCACATCAGCGCTTGCAGAGGGAGGTCCTATGGCACATACGGCAACATGTCGCAACATGTCCAGAATCAGGCCCCATCCACAGGTAAATGAATGTCCAGATGTTTGCAGCAGATTGTTTAATGTCTCCAGGCCCATCTTTTGCACTTCACTGAATGCCTTAGGGTTGCTAGCCAATGTCTCTTGGATCAATGCTTCTTCATTGGCTGGTGGTGTGTAGTTGATGCACTGGTTCAACGCCAATAGCAGTCGATTTTGAGTGCTTTCATTGACCTTGTTGTACTCGGAAAGCACATGGTTCATGGCAATGATGATGATGGTGGAAATAGTCTCGCAGCACTGCGCACGGATGGGTGCTGGCGTCAGTGGATAGTTAGCAGTGGCAATCAGATGAGTCATGATAATGTCCCAAATCTTGGAAGAGGATTCCTTCTGCGTGTTGATGAGTCGATCCATGTCCAAGGTAGCAATGTATTCTAGTTTGTCAATGGCGAATGATCTGGTATTAAAGATTTTCTATAACAGCACAATTACAAAAATTGCTCATAGTATAAACCACATGTAACTTACTGGTTTGGAGGCTTTGTTGCTGGTTAGCAGGGATGATGCCTGGTCAATGAATGGAGTGCCACTCACTTCAGAGCTCATGCGACACAAGGCAGAGGAAAACGCAATGAAAGAATCGTCGTCTAAATACTTGCTATTATCAAACAATCTCTGGAAAGAAGCGCTGATGATTGTGAGATGATCTGCGTCCATCATCTGGTTGTTTGTTTGTTGGTTACTAGCAGATGTATTCGAAGACCCCGTAATCGTTCTTCTTAGGCTGTTGGTGAGAGGTGTCACTGGATTAACACTAGGGGTACCAGCGGAACCACTGCCACCACTGCCGCCTGCGCCTGCTGATGATCCTTTTGGCGTGGGTCGATTGAACAACAAGAAATCAGCAAGCTGCAATGTCTCCAATACTAGATACCACGAGGATCCCAACACACTGCTCAAGAACATGGTGATATTCAACAACACACGCAAGCTGTACAAGTTCTTCTCGTTCAAGGTGATGTTTGACAAGGCTTGTTGCTGCTGTATGGGGAGATCTGCAAATGCAACTGCTGCCTGGTTCACTGAAGCCACCGCAGACGATACTGTGCCAATACTTGTGCTGCTCATGTTGTTGTTGAGTAGTTTTGAGGTTGCATTGTTGGATGCTGAAGAGATGAATCCAGACGATAATAAAGGTATGATAGGAATCGAGTTCTTACACAAGTTGGTCAAGAAGGCGTCCCGAGGTGTCACCAGATCCAGCACACCACATACATTGGTGAAGTTTTGATAGGATCGCATGGTGCTTTGGAATAGTTCTTCGTCGAGATTGGCAGTGAGATAGAACGACATGGCAGCGAGTAAGCCAGGCCAAGCAACGTTCGCCATGTCTGTTACCACCTTGACATCCTTGTCCTCCTTTTCCTCCTGCTTTTGCTTGATGACTGAGCCAGGCGAGAAATTGGATAATGCGAATCCTGCTAATCCATCTGCAATTGAGTTGAGGCACACCAAAGCCAGGTAAAATATATAGGTGTCAGGTATCGCCGGGGGATCTGCCTTATCCAACTGATCAATGCACTGAATACGCATAGTCGAGTTGGCTGTGCTGAGGCCGCTTTCTAATCCACTGGACGAGCTATGATTTGAATGTGCTGATAGATGATATCCTGCATTTCCTGATCCTCCGCCTCCGCCGCCTCCACTGTACTCAAAGCTATCTCTTCCGCCCTGATTTGCTCCAATGGACTGAGGCTTCTCAGTGGCCAATCTTCCAAAGCCCGTAATCATATCACGGAACACGTTGGTGGAGCTGTTGTCCTGTCCGTCATACCACTTGTAAATCGAACTCGTCAATTGAGCATCGCTGCAGACGCCCTTAAATATCTCCATCGCCAATACTCGCAGCCATAGTGGATTCTCAGGCTCCAAAATCTTGACAAACATGGACAGGAATATCTCGCATTCCATGACCAGAATTTCATTGAACTTCTTGATGAGGATGGAAACCACTCGAGTGAGTCGCATTGTTTGTGGAAATTCGCTCTTTTCAGAAAAGTTCTTGATAAACATGGGGCACACGAGCTCTTTCAAAATAGAGCTCAATTCATTGTGCTAAGGTAGAGTTAGCTGTTACGTGTGTTACCTATGGTGTTCTCTCTTACCTCTCGAAATAGCTTATAGTGGTTGGAGAGTACACTTTCAATCAATTCCAATCCAAACGTCTTTGACAAGTGGTTCAAACGAAGGTATTGTGGATGATCGCCATTTGTCAGTAAGCAGAGGTCTCTGAACAAGTAGTAAGCATCCTTGGCGCAGGGATGTAGTTGGATCTTTTCTCCAGTGCTGATCTCTACTTCTTTTGTGGCATCGGTGGCTGCTTGTTGCTGGCTGTCCTCCTTGGCTACCTTATCAAATACAAAGATAACTAATTGACGTAGAGTCGCTGCTGCTGTGTTGTTGACAACGACAATCTTTGAGTCTTGCAAGCGAAAGCAAATCAAAAGTGCCTATGATCAGTCTTGTTAGTATTTGGGGATTTGCCTCGCACACTTGATAGTGCAAACCTCAGCTAGAATATCATCATGCACACTTCTATAATTGTTGAGTAGAGGCAATACTGTCTGCAATATCTTTAGTTGAATCTCTACGCCATGTGTGCTGATATCAGTCAATGTTCTTAAGATGGTTCTCACTGACGTCTATCATTCTTCTATATGAGTACACTTGCATTGGCCCTTGATTGATGCTGTCAACTTACCTCAGGAATCGCATGAAATGATATCAGTTTTTGTATACATCCAATAGCAATGGTAACAAGTTTAACTTGCTTTGTTTCGCAGGCTAATACAAAGGGACGTAAAGCATCTTCTGTCTTTGCAAGTTCTATGTGGCAGGTATATAAGCATTGCTGTTCTCTCAGGAGTCGTCGTATGTAAGTTACCGTTTGCAATGCTGTATCCAGGCCTCTCTTTAAAACTTCTTAATATAACACTTAGACGTTCAGCTGCCTAAAAGACCATTTAGTAACCCAAACCAGCTTGCAGGTACTGACAACACACCTCTTTAATCTCGGGATGCTTTCGTCTTGCTTCACTCGACAAAGTCAACAGCTCGGTCTGCAAAAATGCTGTAAGTCCACTCATAACATAAACTTGATATTATTCGTCTCTGTCGGTGATGTAGATAAGATGTTGCTTTTGTTATAATATCAAGTTTCGTGTTTAATAATGAAACAAACAAAGAGAATATTCATTTTCTCGATTGAATGTTAAGGCGCATACAATTGTAGCCGCACCACATACTGTTAGTTTTTCTAGTCAAGCATCCAATAAGATTGTTGTTCATATTGCGGTTCCTTTATTTTCGCTTCATGTTCCTCCTCTCCCTCCACGCAACTTGGCCCAATCAACGTTATCAATGTTGATTCTACCACGTTTTTTCTTGGATGATGCTTTATTACGCCAAGAGTCCTTCAAGTTGGATGATGGTAATTCTTTGCATGTGATATGTCTTGTTCAGTGAATTCAAGTACACTACGAGATGATTGCTGATCTATACAGCAGAAAGTTGCTTTACATTAAGTATCCTAAGATATATCTTTCTTTTCTAGATGAAGTAGCTCACAATAGGAGTAGGGATAGACACTTCGAACCAGGTGTTGCCTTTTTTGTTCTTGTCCTTGACGAAACGGCAGCTGGAACATCATGATATGACTCGAATATAGTTGCGATGGCGCTTAAGACAAGTTTGCTGTCGTTTCTGTAATAGACCTGAAATTGGCTCACAAAGACGAAAGTATACTCAAATTTGAGGCAAGATTCTAGAAACACAAGCGCAAGAGAGTTTCTGATGTGGTGACAAGCGAAAAGGATGAAACATATATCTTTCGTACACAGCAAAGTAGCTTTTCTGCCAGTGACAATAGTTATTTTAAACGAATCAATGAAATGCATACTGCCTACATGCCATGTTGAAGTGCTGCAAATCTTGATTAGCAGGTTGCGATCACATGTATTTTGGTGATGAACCAGGCTGACTGGCGTCTTCAGATAGGAAAATACCCCCCATAAAAACAAAATAAAGTATTCAGGCTGAGCAGTAGTCGCTTCAAATTTACGATCCCTATTTAATGAGCATCCCAATCATCATTGTCATCATTAGAAAAGGCGTTTTGATCAGCCAGTAGCGCAAAAATCGATTTAAACTCATATCTTTTTTTCTGCTTAAGATTGGCCAAATTTTGCTTTTTTTCGACTTCTTTAATCTATTCTGTAAAATTCGACTATATAAGTTGTGATGATCAGCCCGTACTTCCTAATACATTCTTGGAGTACTTTTCAAGGCGTTTCCAATGGTTCCAAGTAAAATAAATATTTATAATAAACGTTTTGAGCAATGTTTAAAAATATAAAATGAGGTTTTTGGCCAAAATATTGAATTTTTGCATATGAGGGCCTCACAAGAGTGACTTCAGGCGTTGCTTTGGATCGAGAGAAACATTTTGATTCAATATCATCATAACATAATAAATGTTCAGTCCTTAGACACTTTACAACCCTAGTATGGAACCTGAGTTTCAAGGCATCTGTCTGGCCTGGCTCATATCGTAAAACTAGACTTAAAGTCTGCCAACGATATTGAGTTCTCATAGTTATTAAGGAGAAATGGCTGTTATTGGACACGCTAAGATGGTGTCAGCACGATGGGAGAGGATAAGCAACAAAATCATGTATCAAAATGGACTGAACAGAACTTCATGATACCTACAAATTTTGTGATACAAGAGTCGACATGAGCAAACTGTAGTGATATAGGGTTTAAATGGTTTTGTGAAATTTGAGGCTTTATAGACTAGAATTCACGGAAAAAAAGAATAAAAAACAGTAAAGTCAACTTGATAAAGGTATGTTTTATTATCAAACTAACAGGTGTAAAGTAAACTGAAGTCCCTCTACTGGCCAGGTAGATGATCCTTCTTATATACTATAACAATGGATAAAAGTTCTATTAATTAGATTGCAAATAAGTCAACTCAAATCAACTAATGTCTAATCATGCTAAAAGACAACTCCAGCAAGCTAATCATAATTTAGCTTTGCCTGGATGAATAATTAGACTCTCATCCGAAGTACCCTGATCTATCCTTTCTATAAGGATAATTAATATCGATCTAGTAGCATATATCCGAGAGGTACAGTCTACTTAGTCTATATCAATAGTACATACCTGAGTGTATATCGCTGAGCATACATCTTTAGCATGTATCTGGATATATGGCATGTCTATAGCATATCGTATGCATGTCTGTAGCATGTCTCATATATAGTATAAGTCTGTAGTACATAAAGTATCTGTAGCTAGTATCACGGATATAAGCATGTGTCTTATAGCGTGGATCATAAAGTGCACATCTGAAGCAACAAGCTCATATTGCATTAATCTTGGTGCCTATCCAGATATGGTAAACATCCGTAGTCAATGTCGGAATACAAGTATAAGTCTATAGCGCCATCCATGTCCATGGTGCCATCTATAGCCCATATCTTATATAGTATGAATCTTAGTACTAGCGTATTTGAAGTCCATATCTTCTTATAGTATAAATCGATATCGTACATCTAATCCAGTGTACATACAGTTTATATCTAAATCTGGTAACTGGATGAACTGTCGGAATGCAGATCATAGTGGATGTATTCCACATGTGGAATAACATGATAAATATATTCAGTTTTAATTGTATTTTCTCTCTTTATATTATTCTTAACACATCGCTCTTCTCGCTAAATTTGACTGTACGAACATGCTATTTTCAAAGCTCTGGCATAAATAATCTAAAATTTGGTTGTGGATGATGGCGTAAATTTCAAGATAAAAGATAGCCACCCATTACATTGAGACGTGTTGGAAAATACTGATAAACACCGCATGTTTGGCGGGGTATCTGGTATTAAGTCTTCTTGATCCTTAAAGTAGTATTGTACTTGTATATGGCTTTCCTCCACCCACATAATATCAAGTTTAAAGGATAATCACTCATGCCACTGTTTAATGCATGCTAGATCAATTGATAGCGCCTTATTTTGCAGTTTTAAATTATAAAGAACTTAAATTGTTTCCATTTGATTAAGCTTTTATTATTATAAAAGACAAAACAATGTTAAATGACAGATCAATGGAAAATTAACTAGTTATAACCATTCGGCCCCTGAACCTCTGAGCCAATCAAATCGTTTGAAAACTCCGCTGACCTAAAAAAAATTGCGAGGGTTTCCCTCTGTTTGGATGTGAGGCAAAATTTTAAGCGCCGTTATAATAGCATTATAGCCGCTGCTGTCATCAAACTTCCCCCAGGTGCTAGAGCATGCCTTACTTACACCACCTAGCTTTAGATTCTGGCGTTGAGACTCTCAATCATCACTAAAGTAAGTAGTGATAACCAAGTGGAGGCAGCCTATCTACCTCCTAGCCTTGGATATAGTCTTGTTGAGCTTCAGGGATAGGCACATCCACACAACGTAAAAAAAAGTATGCTTCATAGAAACATAATAGTAATAAAAGAAATAAGAAAAGAACATACTACTGTACTGTAGAAGTGTAATAGTATGTAGGCAAAAAAAGGAAGACTCACACAAAGTGAGTAAAAGAAAAGTATTAAAAAATACAACAGCAGAGACGTTCAGAACAGCTCGTTGTTGTTGCAACAAAAACGCATACGTGAGCAACATGCATGGTAATAGTCGGATGTAAAGCAACACAACCAACAAAAGAAGAAAAAAAAACGCAACGAAGCGAACATCATGAATGCATTATCATGAAAAAGGAAGCAATAATACAAACGTTCAAAGAAGTTTTATATCATTGCGACCAGAAGAAAGAAGATACTTACCACCTACCACCACCGTAAATAGACCAGAGGATACACAATCACCGGATATAGGCCAAAGAATGAGCATGCACCAAACACAGTAGACCAGGAAAGGCCATATTAGCAGCGGCAGCAGCAACACCAGCACAATAGAAAAACCAAAGAACGAACGACACCAGAGACCAGGCAAAGACCAAAGAAGCAGACAGCAGAGACAGCAGAAAAGGAATGGCAGCAGCACCCACGTCAAACAGGCAAAAATATTATCAAAACATAATAAACAAATTCAATTAGTGTTAATTCTATGTCTTCCAGTGCTCGTTATCGAACGGTACCTAATATATTCCACTTCAAAGAAACAGCACCAAGTCTTTCTCACAGTACAATACAGCGTTATCAGAAGCTAGAGTGTTATTATCAATGAAACGGTTTCCAAAGCCACCATGGTTTGATACTAAACGCGTTTTGCAAAAAGGGGAAAAATGGGGTACAGAAAAATGAGAGGGCGCCCTATCCGACGTCACGGCCAGTAAATTTGGTCTCAGTCTTTTGCCGTAGCAGCAGTAAGTGCGGCAATTTAATTTGAATTTGTGCAGTGGGGGTATTTTCGTGTTCAAATTTGACTTGATCTGACATTCTTTAAACATTTTTGCTAAATTTGACTATGAAAACTATCGTTGTCACACCCAACTTTCTAATACATCTCTAGAGAACTAAAGAAGCCGCATCGAATGGTGCTAATTTCTTTCAGCTTTCGGACCAAAAATAATGAGCAATTTCCAAAAATATGAAAACAGATTTTCTGTGAATATGTCAAAATTTAGCATATGAAAATATCATAGAAAGAGTTTACAATGTTGCATTTTATCTTTACGATCAATTTGATTTAATATGTATCATAGGAAAAGTCCTCACTTTTGACGTGAAAAACGCAATCATTTGATTTTCAAGAATTTTCCCTTGCTAATACTCATGGAAAAATGAGGATTTTCGTGAATTTGCAACGGCCCTACAAAAAATGAGATAAGGCATCAGGAATTAGAGCGTGGCCAAGAGGAGGCATGTGGTGCTATTCCAAACGCTCAAAACGCTTTGTGGCATGAATTATTCGTACTTGAAAATGGCTAGATTTGAACAAAATTCGACCTAAAACGACAGCGTAGTGGGTTGCGTTACCAGAAGAGTAATTTAGGCTTCTGTCTGATTAACCAGATGTTCTGTACTGTACATTATGAAATCTCTAGTATCAATCCAAGGCGTGGAAAGGCTGTCTGC